TTCCGTTTGCATGTGAGGCCATGTAATCAATCTACAGAGGAGTTTAAAAACCTTTATGTCTCACATTTCTTTCTATATAGCTTCTATAATTCCTGACAGTAGAATTTACTGTGTGGCCCTATGATTAAACACATTAACCTGGGAATATTCAACACATTCAGAGGCTGAATAAAGTGTATACTATAAAAATCATTAGTTCACTTTAGTGTACTACTGCACTGTGCACTGTGGAAACCACCGGTTTAGGGCGGTTTCTAACTAAAGTTGAACTGATGATCATTAACTGGAACTAATAAACCAAGTTTTGTTTTGTGTTTTTTAGACTACCCGTGAAAGTTGTTTTAGGAAGGCTGGCCTCATGAGGTGTAAACTGCAACATGTTTGCATGTTGTCACTACTTCCAATTAATTTTAGTCTTTGGCTTCTAATGCACACAATTTTATGTTTATGAATTTGTGTGCAAGCGGTACAACTGTTTACACAGAAACCATCAGAGAAATTTGCTGTGGTATTAACATCTCCAACGACGGTATCATACAGGAAGCTGAGTCACAGATTGGGCGACTCACTTCCTGTTTATTTTATCAGAGCAGTCTTTTGGCCCTTGTTATGACAAGTCAAGAAAGCAGTCTGAAAAACTGCGGGGTGGTGGGCTATTCTATGATTTTTGGGGGGCTGCACTAAAACATTCACCTGAGTTCAGCTCACAGACATTATTCATTTCATTTTTCCAAAAGCAAAGCATTAGCCTTGTACAAAAAAAGTCTAATGTGGTCAATTAATCATATATGTAAAAATATATTTATGGTTATTGAACAACTTTGAACTATTTTAAACACCATTTTACATCTTTTTCTTTCTTGAGCAATGCACGTCTGTGACACTGTGACACAGTCGATTGTGGTCGGCTTTTCAGTGTGTGTCGTTTTTTACTGATAAGAGAACACATCGTCTATAAGTTAAATTCAAAAATGGAAACTTTTAATCATGAAATCTCTTAATCTATAATCGTATGAAATGCATAAAAGGAGGGAAAAGGTTCATTGTGGTTTTACTGGTAGGGCTTCTTTTCAACAAATTCTTAAACTTGTTGTTAGCACAGTACCATGTGGAGGACCTTCTCCGAGTGCTGCGCTGCATGACTTACACTCCAGCAGTGCAATGAATCTCATTAGTGGCTGTGGAAGAGTTTAGCAGGGGGCTTACGCTACTGAGCATATTCTTTTAGGGTTGATTGAGGCCAACAGAGGTCACTTCAGAAGGTCAAGGTTAAAACTGATTGGAAATACTGCTGAGGTTTGTCTTTGTCGACATTAGCAGATACCCACTATACATCTACGGTGCTATATGTATGTGATCGGGCAACGGGCTAAAGACTGAGCGTTGCATGCTAAGTAGCAGAAACAGGGTGGCCTGCAATTGCATGATTGCATCACCGCCAGTGCTAAAGTGAAGTGTTTGTTAAAAGTTGTAACAGTTATTGTGGGCAAAACAACAGGAACTCATGCAAAATATTTCAGTAGGCCCTGATGTGACATAACAGACAAAAAATGTCATAGAAAATTGAATAAAACACTGAGACACAAGATTCTTTTTTGGTTTAGGAAGGCAAAGGAAGCTTTTTTATATATTTTACTTTTCAGTGACAGATTTAATTTAAGTGGTTCTTTTCGGATGAAGCACTTAAATTAAATTGCTGTTATTAAATACTTTGGTATTATGCTTTTCTACTGTTAACGTGCCTGGCAATTTAAATGTATTTCTATCTCTTGACAGGTCGTTTGAATTATAAAGACAACAAATATGACTTGTCTGTGAGGTTTCATGCCTTTGATATCTGGTAAATTGTTTAAAGTGTGGGATGCAGGTGTCTTACTTTTGACTTCAGCTTTTTAAAGAAGCCTCAGCTCTAGTAAATAATTTTAGATTCTACTGCTTAACAAATATATTATGCAATTGTTTTACTGGTCTGAAACATTTGGGATCCAACTGGGCTGCATATGGCCCATGAGCTAAAACGAGTTTGATGTAATTACAAATGACCCTAAAGCACCTCCCAATAAGCAGCGCCAACACTGAGGTTTTAATGTAGTGTTGATCCTGGCAAAAGAATAAATAGGAAATAATCCTCATCATAAAAACTTGTATTATTTAATCTCTTTGGGGAACTATTTAGTTCTTTGTGCAAATGTACCAGAAAAAAAAGAAAGAAAAAACACACTGAAGTCACCAGAACTGATGGTGACACAAATAACAATTCAAGAACAAATGCAAACACTCTTGTCGCACATCACAAACTCTTCCCCCTAACTCCCATTCAATGAAGCATAAACAATGTTCAGTAGTGTTAAACGGTCAGTTAAGTACTGTGTGACAAAGTTTAGCTTGTAATTGCGTAATTAGTTTATTTGATAAATACTGTTGCCCTGCAGGCTTCCCGTAGCTCCATTTGCTCACCACAGAGACCATTTAGATAGCCGTACATATCCCTACACTTGACTTAGCTGCCCGTGTAGACAGTAGACTTTATGCCTGTTATCCTGTTACCTTATTATCTTGTTAGCCTAAAGTTTTTATGCCTGGCTGCCTGGGGAAGGTGTTGAATCTTGCAAATGTATTTTGGTTACTTTTGCCATTTTCACACGGTGCACTATAAATGCATATAGGTTTGAATACTTTCATTCAGCCTAGCAGTTTCATGCAGCCTGTGGTATTTTTGGAGATTCTCCAACACCCAGAAAACCAAAACAGCAAATATCCCATATGGTTGGAGGTCTTTCATCAACATTAATACGCTTATTTTACTTATTTTACTACACCCTGCTGCTATGTCTGCAGCTACTCACAGAACTGCCATCATAATTGTGCCAGGCTAATTTTCCTGTCAATGTGACCTTCACCAGGACAATGTCTCAATGTCTTACATCTGGAGGTGGTCAGCAGGCCTGCACGCTGCTAATACATGTGGGTTAAATGTGGAAATTTTTTTCTTTCTTTTTTTAATGGAAAATCTTTGAGATACTAAAATGATCCAGCATGCTATATATGAAAATAAGAGTGGGAAGAAGCGAGCGGATGGACATTCACCTAACTACTTCACTGTAATCTCTTAATGAACTTCCACGTGTAGTAATGGTAAAAACAGGAAAGGGAAAGAGGATGAGCAAAGAGCAGGAAAGGATAGAGGGACTGAAGACATAGTGGGTTAATAGGAAAACATGGAAACATTTCAAAAGAATATGCAGAAGATATGGAAAGATATTTTAAGTGTGATCAGAATCCTGGGTGCCGAGATTTCTTCATGTGTCTGCATCTGAATTTTTTAATAAAAAAACTCTCTGATTCATTTACTGTCATGTTGCTGAATAGAAAGAGGGCACTGTGCAATAATAATTCACACATAAACAGATAGGTTACAATTTAGTGCACACCTCAAGATACTCTTGTGTGCATAAATTTGTTTCCATGTATGGAGATAAGTTTAGCAGCCAGGCATGCGGTCTGTCTGAAATCCTGGATAGTCGTTAGACATTGGAAACCAATCCGGTGTCATCCACTTGGCAGGTCAAAGGTCAGGTAAGTAGTTGCTTCACAGTAAGCAGTAAGGCTTAAACTGAGCTAAATGGTGAATGGGGAAAGTGAAGAGTGTGACTGACCTGCTGTTGTTGTGTCTTAACCTACAGAGCTACGTACTGTATTTGCAGTGTGGAAATAATGGCACAGTATTTCCTGTAATGCAGCAGCAGCACTAATGCTAAAAGTTTTGCATTTGCACATAAATGTGATTCTTCCCGTATTATTTAAATGTTAAGTAGCTGCTGTTAATGCATCAACAATACAAAGAAGTGAAAGCAGCTGCCATATGCTTCACTGCATCAACGACTGACAATGATACTGAGGCGAATAGTTAAAGTAAACTTGATCTCAATGCTGCCTATCAGATTGTAAACTGACATGGATTATTCACTCGAGTCATATGTCGGACTTTAAAATAACAAATAGATTTTAAACAGATACAAATATCTTATTTTTTTTCTGTAAAATGTAGTGTTTTCATATTTACATCCCTCCCTTTTTCTGACAGATGTTATTGGATCTTTGCTTCAGTCTTACTCAAAACTTGGCTCACGGTTATCATCACGTTTCTCCTTCTTTTCGGTGTTTTAGCTTTTTGCGCATGCACAAAAACAATTCTTGGATAACAATACTTTCACCCTCATGTGTGAAAGTGCACTTGCTAACAGCGCATCTTCCTGTGTGTCGGTGTTAACGTGTGTGACACTGCACATAGAGGGTAATCTGCGATAAGCTGGTTTATGGGCTCGTCTGCAGTGACGCAGATATGCGCGCCCAGCTCCGCACTGACAGATTCTTTATGACAACTAACCCGAGAGACGGTGGCCCATACCCAAGCTGGACCGCAGTCAAGAACATGACCGACAACTTTCATCGCACATATATGCTCAAATTAAACATTCATGTTGGTGTTAAGAGGACAAATAAAACAGAAACTGTTGTTAAATTTGCGCATTAAATGTTGTTTCACGATGTGTGACTTTGGAGATAAGATGATAACTAGTGAAGAAAAAACAAACATCTCTAGAGAGGGTGCATGTGAAACCTCGCGTAGTAGTAAAATTGTAGTGTTTTATATTTGTGTAATTTACACAAATTTATCTGTTTGGAAGGCTGGAAAGAATTCTAAGTACCCGATTTTGATAACGTGCATAGATTTATGTCAAACTGAACAGGGGGAGCTGATACTGGACCAGTGAGACCAGGGTTCCCCTCTGCAGGAAGACAAGTGTAGGCTGGCTGCATCTCCGGAATGATGGGATTTTGAGTAAAAGTGACTGTTTGTGGATACGAATCCCCGATTTTGAAGGCTAGAACTTTAATTTAAAAGTTTTTATTCTTCTTTAGGCACGCCTCAGCATTCGAGTTTGAAGCCACTGAAATTAACCATGGGAAGCGGAGGGGGTGGTGTTAGTTGGTGTGGGCTGTCAATCAAACCGAGCCGCCCCATCACTTCTCGGACTGGAAATGATCTGTTCACAACCTCTCCAGCAGCCGTGGAGTGGGACCTCCGTGCATCGCGCAGTATCAGCGAGCTCCAAAACGGCCAAAATGTAAAAGACAAACAGCAGTCGCTCACCGCTTTTGAAAAGTAGGTGGGGATCGGAAACGCGCATTGTAAAAAAAAACAAAAAACAAAAAAAAAACAAAAAAACGGAGCGTAAAGTTGCTCAGCATGGATACGCAATAAGCTGTGCGTAACCAAAAAACAAAAAGCGAGTCTAAGAAGACAGAAGTAAAACTTCTCCAGTGGATTTTTCGGTTGAGATAGCTGCGTCAGAGCACTACTGGGACGTCGCGAAAAGCTGAAACGGAAAGAAAGAACCGACACAGCTGACACCCGCTGTCCAGAGGTTAGACACGGAGACGGATCGGAGCGCGCAGTCTGCCTGCGAAAGCTTGACAAGATCATGAACTGAATTTGTCTGGAGAAGCAGACTTTATGTAAGAAGTAGGGCAACGCCGCCCGACCTGTTCTCTTCGTCATGCGTAAAGACGTTTTGTCGTTCACGGTCTTGTTGGTGTGACAGAGTTCTGCTCCTAAGGGTCATTTCCACAGAACTCTGCCCCCGGCTAATGCCGCAGCTCCGGACGGAGTTAGTGGAAAGTTTTGCCGTTTACATCCTCCTCTACCTCCTGTCAACATGATCGAGAGCGCTGAGTGCGCTGCAGCTGACAGCTACTCGCACGGGGAGAGCATCAACCTCAGCGTGCTCAACTGGGAGCAAGTGCATCGGCTGGACACCATCCTCACGGGCTCCATTCCCATTCACGGGCGATGGAGCTTCCCGACCCTGGAGGTGAAGCCACGAGATATCGTCAAGGTGGTCCGAAGCCGCATGGAGGAGAAGCGGATACATGTTCGGGAGGTGCGGTTAAACGGATCGGCAGCCAGCTACGTCCTGCATGAGGACAGCGGTCTGGGATGGAAAGATCTGGACTTAATATTTTGCGCCGAGCTGAAAGGGGAGATGGAGTTTCAGATAGTGAAAGATATAGTGCTGGACTCACTTCTAGACTTCTTGCCCGAGGGGGTGAATAAAGAAAAGATCACACCAGTGACCTTAAAGGTAGTGTATGAAGAAATGTGACTCACAAACGGAGCAAATTATGATTCTTATGAGAACTGTGAAGCACTGGCGCATATAATGCAGAGCTTCAAAATTACTCAATTCCTGAATTATACATGAAGCAGAATTAGTTAAAATTTCTCAGTCATTGCATACATTTTAGATTTAATAATGCACCCAATTCTAATAAGTCTGAATATGTCAGTGCAGCATAGAGATATAAGCCTACAAATAGTAAAAAGGTTGGTTTCCAGTTCAAAGAGGATTCTGTCTAATCCAATTGGAGTCAGATCCACATTAATCAGTCGGCCCTCAGTTACCTGGATACCAAGGACTACCCAGGCTACTAATGGCCCACCAACAGATGTGATCAGCAAAACATGATGAGTAAAAGGCCAGACAGAGATTTTTATCTGGTGCACATTAATGTGGAGTTGTTGCTCAAACTATGGTCAAAACACATTATATCTCCGTTGCTGACCCAGAATGCAGTCGTTCATCTGGTGAGCAGGTCACGGTCAGAAAAAGAAGAAGTTTTTGGTAAACTTTTTGCAAAAACTTCACTTTACCACAGCTGTGAAAAGGACATGGGGGAGGAGGAGGAGTTGAGAGATTGTGAGAGAGGGTTTGAAGGAGGTCCTCGAGTTTTTGAATGATTTTGAGCTGATATATACAATTAGTTACTCATCTTATAATGCAGTGCTTTTTGTAAGCCCTTAATGACACACAAATAAAAAAGGTAGAGGGCATATAGAATTCTAGTGTGGATATAAAGTGGGTATAAAACCCTTGTTGTCCACTCTCTTTGTTCCAACAGTGTCTTTAAGTTTTCACTGATGATTTCAGTGTGCTGGTTAAAGCCTGCAAAATATGACATTTACTTGAAGATCATGATTCCTATTGTGTAGAAACTTTTCATGTTTTACTTTGTGTCTGTTTGTAGGAGGCTTATGTGCAGAAGATGGTGAAGGTGTGTAACGACTCAGATCGCTGGAGTCTCATCTCACTGTCCAACAACCGTGGCAAGAATGTGGAGCTCAAGTTTGTGGACTCTCTTCGCCGGCAGTTTGAGTTCAGCGTGGACTCTTTCCAGATCCGCCTGGACTCGCTCCTCCTCTTTTACGAGTGCTCGGAGCACCCAATGGCTGCAACTTTCCACCCCACCATCCTTGGGGAAAGTGTCTATGGTGACTTCCCCACCGCCCTCGATCACCTGCGCAAGCGCCTCATCTGCACGAGGAGCCCCGAGGAGATACGCGGCGGGGGCTTACTGAAGTACTGCCACCTGCTGGTTCGGGGTTTCCGTGCAGCTTCTGACACCGAGATGAAACTGCTGCAGCGCTACATGTGCTCGCGATTCTTCATAGACTTTCCTGATGTGAGTGAGCAGAGGAGAAAGCTGGAGTCCTATCTGCAGAACCACTTTGTAGACCTGGAGGACAGGAAGTATGACTACCTTGCCACCCTGTACAATGTGGTGCAAGAGAGCACTGTGTGCCTGATGGGCCACGAGAGGCGTCAGACACTCAGCCTCATCTCGTCGCTGGCCCTTCGGGTTCTGGTCCAGCAGAATGCCATACCCAATGCTGCCAATGTCACCTGCTTCTACCAGCCGGCTCCATATGTCTCTGATGGCAACTTCAGCAACTATTACGTAGCACAGGTTCAGCCTGTCTACTCATGCCCACCCTCTCCTCCTCAGCAGTACCTTGCTTCTTTGCAGCACCCCATGTACGCCACTTGGTTGCCCTGTAACTAAACCTTTTTTATGTCCATGCACCACTGTGTAAGTGCTGGGACTCCCACCCACTCATAAAAGGGAGGAGTGATGATTTTTTTTAAATCTCCTCCTTGAGAACGGAAGTTTGTGGAAAGGACAAAAGGAAAGCAAGAGATAAGATTGGGCAAGGAAGAAGAGAATCAAGGAAAGGCAAGAAAATGAAGACAAGGAATCAGGACCAAAGCAGCAAGAGAAAGAAATGTTTTTCCCCCCGGGTTAGGATGCCACAGCAGGAGGTGAGCACACAGGGAGAGATGCCAGTGAGTGGGGCTGGCCTGCCAGTTCGAGGGTTTGGTAGATCAAACCGTCGCTGAGGCTCTGAGTCATAAATAGCCTGGACAGGATAGTGTTCTGGTGTGTTGTGGGTTTTGACATGTGTAATAAGCACATCTTCTTCACATTGCAAACCAAAACATGAGATCACAAATGGCCACAAAGAGCAAAGAGCAGCAAAGGACGCAGAAGATGTTTTCATTCACATATTTACCGTCTGCACTGAGTTTGTGGGAGACTGGAACTTTGTTTTCAAAGACAATTGCAAAAAAAGGAAGTGAGTACTGTTTACAACCCAAAGATCTGCTTTGTTACTCAAGTTTTTCTTTCTGAACTCTGACAACAACAAAAAAAAACAACAAAAAAACAAACAACAACAAAAAAAACCCAACAACAAAACAATGCATGCTTTATTTCTGTACAGGAATACATTTTTAAGTGCCTAGATAAAGCCTAAAGGGAAGAGTTGTTTTTTGTCATTCTTTATCTTAGAGTAGTATTGAATTGTCTCATGACATTTTCAAAATGATTATGAATGTACTGATGGTCAGAAAATTTACCAATGCTGACTAAGGTCTCTAACACTGAGGGAGGTATCGGACCACCTGATGTTTTTAACAGTGTTTGGTTCAATATTATGCTCTTATCAGCAGTGCTGCTGGATAAGTACACATCCTGATTACCAAAGAGGAAGTACCAACATAATCTCATCATCTGTAGGAGGTGGGTGGCGAGAGTGTCTAAAAAATACTTATAAAAATATAATGCATGGTTATTTTAAAATGAGAGATGGGTTGCAAATTAAGGTGAAGGAGTGTATAGCAACCTATTTCATGTGCAGGGTGAAATGTGACAGAAAGAAATGTATGCCCATTGTGCATTTCAAAATACAGTCTTATTAAAACACATTTTCATGTGTTTTTGTACACTTTGCCAGATGCAAACTGAAATGCAAATTAAAAGAACAGATTTTTCAGATGTACCACTCAAGCTTACTTAAAGGCACCCTGTGGAGTTTCTTTCTTTGTTTACACTATTTCCCTAAGGTCTAAAAAGCTGAAGTGAGTTCATGGCATGAAATCAGCTGCAGCAATCTCATCAGGGCGTAACTGTGAGAAATAGGTCAGGTCCAGCACTTTCACTTAAACTCGCCCACCACAATCATGTCACTCTCTACCCATCTTTGCGTTCCCCTGAATCTGTATATCAACTGTGATGCTCCCGTAAAACACTAAAAGTTTGTAGTGAGGAAAAGGGAATGAAGAGCAAGCGAGAGGAACTGCACACTTCGTAAAGGGGGCTCTGCAAAAATGCACGACTTTCTGCAGTGAATCCTAAAAAAATCCCAAATGACATCCTGTGTGTGGGAGGGAGAGAGGGAGAAAGTAGACAATAAACTGTAAAGCCAAGGAAAAGTCAGCTCCAAGAAGAGCAACAGCAAGCTCACTGCCTAAAAACGCTGTTAATGATAAACGCTGGCTAACAAAAAATAACCAAAACTTTCCACTGAGACAACTTATCAACATTTAAAGATGGTTTTAGCTCAACAGGGAGAAAATTAAAGATTCACTGTCTCACATGACTGTTTCAGCAGTCTTATCTGTTGGCATAACATCTTTCATAGAATTACGAATTATATGGATTTCATTATAATATTGGTGTGATGACTGGCAAGCTAGGAAGCTACACCATCATTCATGAAAATACTAGCCGAATTAATTTGACCAAAGATTGCCAAAATAATTTAACTGCAATGTTATCAACAATACTCAAAAAAAGCTATCTTGTCTACCAAGTTCATCAATACGGGTCCGTGTTGATTGGTTCACTGAATCCAGACTATCATCGCCTCATGCTAAATGTAGTGCTAAGAAGCCAGCCCATTGTTAGTTGTCTCTCCGTGCTCATCTTTATTCCCCTTTTCCCCTCCTTGCAGCAGATGGCTGCCTCTAACTGAGCCTAGCTCTTCTGGAGTTCTCTTCCTGTTAAAAGGGAGTTCTTCTTTTCCACTGTCACCAAGTGATTGCTCGCAGAGGATTGTCTGATTGGCGGGGATTCTTGTGCATTCTTGCAATATGAAAATGCCTTGAAGTAAAGCCAAGTCAACTAGTGCTATATAAAACGCTGAATTAAATTAGCTTCTCCTTATTGCAAGTTTTTATTTCGTTTACTGTCCGGCTGTTGGGCCTCTTCTCACAGCACCTGCCACCACAATCATCTACTATGGCCCACAGGTCCTTAATTTGACAAACTTAGCATCTGTGTTTTGGCTTTCAGCTTTCTCCACAAGTGCCTTCCCTTTTACTCCTACCCATTTTGGCCAGCTGACTATTTTTCCTGACGTGTTGTTGAAAAACCAAATGCCACCCAAATGCAAATGCTTATATTGGCTTACAGGAAAAGTGCCCATTCTGCCAGATGGCCAGCCCTGGACCTCATGCATGACATCACATGTATGCATGTTCTCATACACATGCACGATACAACCAAAGATTTTGCTCTATTAGAGCTCCTAAAATCAAACAAACTCTACAAGGTACCTTTGCGTAACAAACACATGTTTAACAGAAAGTTTTGAAACATGGGCGATCAGTTTTCAAAAAATTACACTGGAAAATTGTAAAAGATTTAAAACACTTTTAATTTTTTTTTTTTTTTATCAAATGCATTAAGAAATTTTGTATGCAGTTCGAATGCATTTTGCCATAATGTATCTGCTTTAAAATAAAACAACATGTAACAGAAAAAGGGAACAATTGTGTTACAAGCTACAAGCTCTAAATTTGTCAAAGGAGTGGAAGTTGGTTTGTGTGTGCAAGGGTGTCGTAACAGAGCTCGGCCCCAGCAGAGGAGAACACAGTTAACAGCTGCTGAAATTTGTCTCAGTGAGGAAATAATGAGATAAGTAGAACTGAAAATGCACGAATATTTGAAAGGCATTAAAGCGTTTCGTCTGAGATTTAAAGTAGAGTTTTCATAACAATTGTGGAGTGACAGAGTACATTTCCAGTTTTTAACTGCATTCTGCACTTCACTCAGAATGTTCTCTCTCAAACAAGTCAGATCTTCTATTTTTCTATCGATCTCTATTTTTGTACACTTTGTGTTCAGACGAATTAGCAGACAAGGCTGTGTCACTGAATTTAAAGGTGCTTTTCTGTGTATTAGTTTTGGCTGATGGAGACCTGCTTTGGTGAATACAGTGGTTGAGATTTACATTTACACATGTTCATTGTACGTTCTGCTCTGAGCTGTTCCATGTGGATTTCTGTTGCTGTAAAGAGATTGTTTCATTGTTTTTCAGTGTTTTCAACAGCAATCCTGTTTGAACCTGAAAATAAACATCTGATGATTGTGTTCAAGTGCAGCAATTTCTTAATTAAAAGCAAAAGGAGCCCACTGGACATAAGATGTTTTAAGATTTTTCTTTCTTATCACAAACACTACCAGCCGCAGTAGCACTTTGCATGATGATTATTAGACGTTTCACCACCTTGAACTTTAGTTTAGCCGAGGTAAACGGCTCTGGCATTTGGATTTGGTGTCCAGGTTTTGACATTAAGAGAAAAGTCCTCATTAGGTCAATGCTCTGAAGTGCCCGCACATCCACACAAGTGCATGACTCTTGTTGCCAGCAAGTAACAGCTGAACGTGAAGGATTTCCCCTCAGTGAGACGTCACAGATGAGCATCAACGAACGTCATCACACTGTTTGCCAAGCTAATTAGCTTTAAGTGAATCTGAAACGGCAAGCAGGTATCACGAATTTACAAACCTTACTACCAGCAGAGCCCAGGTCTCCAGGGACACATGGTAACTTGCTGAGTGGATTGGCTCCAGGTCTGCATCACTCTAATGCCCGCAAGCTTCAGCCTCCAGATGTCACTTTCCCTGCTGACAGTGGGGAAAAAACGTTACTCAACTCTGTCTTTCATCTTTTTCCTTTCTTCTGTCTCTCTACTTGACACTCTGCTTATGTTTTCTCCTCTTTATCTTTTCCTTTTGCTTTCATGCCTGCTTTTGAAAAGATTTCGATGTGCATAACTACTGACTCTTCTATTTTGAGTCACTTGAGATTACAGCTCTCACTCTAGGTGTTTATTATTATTATGATAATTCTGTGTTCACTCATTTCCCTTCATCTCTGCCTCAGTTGGTCTCTTGGTGAATTTAAGCAGCAATGGATGAGCTATGGAAAGAAGAACAGGGCCACTGTTATCCCCTGTTAAGCAGGAGAGAGTGGACACTAAATATAGGCCCCCCTCTCAGCCACTGTAAGGACATTAGCCCATCTGCCAAAAGCTGATTAGCCTCCCTCCATAACCATGCACTCAGGGCTCTAGTGTGGCTGCTGTGGAGAGATTTACTGGCTATTGTGCTGCAACACGTACCTGCCTCATCCCGTCTTTTAGGTCACTCTCGCTTGAAAGAGGAAAAGAGAAGGAGTCCACTTCCTTATCAACGGGCTTAAAGAAAACAACAGATTGAGGCCTTTACTGTGTTGCACAACAAGGAAAATAGCGAACCCAATAACACCGTAAGCTTAGGAAGGGTGTTACTAGCATGCTATAACAGAGCAGCTTGACAGGTGGGCTGAGCATAGGAAGTATGCCATGCAATTCTTTTGAAGGGAGTCACTGTTAGACTGCAGTAAGGAAAACAAATGCTCTAAAAACGAACTATTTTTGAAACTATCAAACATTGAGTCATTCAGATCTTTATATTCTTTTCTTCTACAATGATATTTTAAATGAAGTGACAGCTGCCGGTCTCACTGCATAGCATGAAATAGGAACCAAATGCCACCTCTTTGTTTCTATGCATGGATATTAATTTCCCTTTTTTGATAGCAGCCTTTCTTGTATTCCAGTTGAAAGCATTTTTTGTGAATGCATGAAATGTTAATTAAAAATGAAAGCAAAAACAGTTCAACTCAGGTCCCTTCAAAAGCACTACAAACGGTGCCCATGAAAACAAATCAGTGAATTGCATTTAGTGACTATTGAACAACCCGGTGGGATAAAATGTCATAACTAGCTCATAAATTGCTGTTAGACTCTGTGTGGAGAATACTTGCCCTTGTGTTATTTCCTAATAAATAATAAAGGCTAGAAACCATTAAAAGCACCGGCCTGGCTGTCTCTGAACATATTAGAAGCCACTTTACAGCCCTTTAAATCTCACAGAGACAAAGCAGAAGCTGTCATACATTATGGAAGCAAGGACTGAAACAATAGCAATGCCTTTAGCTGACTAAAAATTACAATTTTGCTGTGTCAAATGACTATGTTAGCAACCCTTCTGTACCATGTGTTTCTTCAGTGTACAAAAGAGTTTGTACACTAAAATAAGAAGAAAAGAAAAAAACTCTGACAGCTGGCTCACTCTTAAATAAAATAGCCTTAAAAACTGGCATATGGCATATTTGACTTGCTTGTGACAACAGGGGCATGTCTAGATGGGGGCCATGGGGTGCCACAGAACATGACTAGGCCTACTAATACTTTTAAACCCCCCTCACCACCACCACCACCATTGAATGGATAGGAGAATGTAACTTGGTATGTTCTATCAAGTATTTTATTGTAGTACAGGTTTAATGTCTTTTATTTAAATGGTTATACGATGTTACGACTTTATATGAGCTTATGATTCTATACAGCTATGTTTTGGATGCAAATACCTCAGTTTGTACTCTGTACCAGTTATTTGAAATATTTAGTTGCTTATTATTTTGGAGATAGGCTGCATTGTTATACATCAAGCTACTTAGCAATATAAAAAGCAGTATAAAGACATGCATACACATCAATGAATCAACAATTGAGAAATTACCATTTGACATAATGAGTATGTTTATTGCAGGCACTCTAAATATGCATCAAGTATAACAATATGAGCAGTGACAGTTGAAATAAATAGCACTGATTATATTCATCATTGCAACTGTTAGTGGGTGAGATTTATTAAGGAGCAAATTAAGTTTTGTCCTCAAAGTTGATGTGTTTAACGCATCAACTAACACATCAGCAGGAAAAATTTGCAAGCATAAGGTTTTGGGTGAGTTTGACAAGGGGCAAATTGTGATGGCTAGACGACTGGATCAGAGCATCTCCAAAACTGCAGCAGCTTTGGGTTGTTCCTGGTCTGCAGTGGTCAGTATCTATTAAAAGTGGTGCAAGGAAGGAACAGTGGTGAATCAGTGACATGGGTGCCCAGAGTTCACTGGTGCATGTGGAGAGCAAAGGCTGGTCTGTGTGGTTTGATTCAATAGACAAGCTACTGTAGCTCAAATTGCTTAAAGAGGTGATGCTGGTTCTGATAGAAAGGTGTAAGAATGCACAATGCATCACAGTTTGTTCCAGTCAGGAAGTGCGTGCCTACCCTTCTGCACTGCCAAAAGTGAAAACAATGAGCACGTGAGGATCACAACTGGACCACAGAGCAATGGAAGAAGGTGGCCTGGTCTGATTAATCATGTTTTCTTTTAGATTACATGAATGTCCTTGTGCGTGTGGTTCGCTTAGCTGGGTAACACCTGGCACCAGTATCCACCATGGGAAGAAGGAAACTGTGTTCACTGGGATAATGCACCCTGCCACAAAGCAAAGATATTTCAGATTTGAGGTGCTGACTTGGCCTCCAAATTCCTCAGTTCTAAATTTGATCAAGCATCTGTGAGATGTGCTGGACAAACAAGACCAACCCACAAAAAGGCTGAAAGGCCTCACCTCTCAGCTTTTAGGACTTCAAGGAGCTGTTGCTAACACCTTGGTGCCAGATACCACAGCACACCTTCAGGGGTATGGTGGAGTCCATGCCTCGATGGATCAGCAACAGCAATAGAGGGACCAACACAATATTAAACAGGTAGTTATAATATTATGGCTAATTGGTGTATTTTTATGATGCAACTAGCTCACTATTAACCTATTTGAGTAGGATTATAATGCTTACTTAAGTAAAAAGTAATTTTGAATTTTCTCACTAGCAGTCAGAATCATTTCCTGCCTGGACTTTGTCTCTAAACAACAAAATTCAGAGTTTTTTGGTTTTTTTTCCTGTTTTTTTTTTTGTTTTGTTTTTTTTCTTGAACAGAGCCTAGCTGTTTCTCAACTTCCACTCTTGGTCCTGCGTTGAGCTATTATATGAGAGTTCACATACAGATATTAAAATGGAGGTATTTTCCACGTCTAACATCAAGCAAGAAAGTGAATAAATGTATTTTCACAATGTCAAACTGTTCCTTTAAGAAGCTGTAATCCAAGGTGACCTTATTAGTTCAAGATGCATGAGTAGGAGAGAGCAGCGGGAATCCCACATCTGTTCAAAAACGCCAAGCTATGAGCTGCCTTCAAAGATTAGACTTATGTTCAAAAAATACCACATCTATGAGTTAAAGAAGCGCCATCAAAGAAGCATAAAGAAAAAAATACATGTGGATTTATGTGTTCAGACAAGCGCTGACAGATTTGTTTACTACAGAGTTAGATATTACTCAGAGTCTAGGTAGATATAAAATGTCTCACCACACTCTTCTTTTCAGGCTCTCCAGGCTCTAATTCATATAGTGCGTATAGCTTAGCGCTAGCCACATTATAGTGAAGGTCATGTTGAGGGCAAGTAAACAGTGAGCCTCTTCCAGACATATGTTTCTAAATGAATACGATCTTTTTTTAACGGACACGTTAAATGTTTCAAAACAGTATGAAAAGGAATCGGGCTAAAGTGCCAACGTGGATGAAAGCCGAAACAAAGTCTTTTTCTTTAGTTTTCTGGTTTTAAAATGAATTATCTGTTGTTTAACTGAATTAATTGGTTTAGAAGACTTTTATTTGGCCCTGGAGTGGTTTAATGAACCGGTCTCTCCCCACTGTTATGCTCTCAGCCTCTTGTGTGAGTATTTTCACAGGAAAAGGTCAGACTGAGTCGAATTACTGTTGCCATCTTTAATTAATTTAGGTTTCACAAAAACAGGAAATGAATAGCACCAAAAGGTCTCTTAGCAGTTTCTAAAACACTGGTATTGTGGCTGCGCTGCTGACAGGAGGTTTTCATTGAATGAGAAGTCACACATGAAGACGACTTTATTTAGTTTAGCTGTTATGTGGAGGCAGCACAGGTGCAGATTTGAGACATATAAACAAGCAGTAATTTAAACAAATATGTAGTACATCAACTTTTTAAAAATATACAGAACTCAAGAAAGGAACTGCGTGTAACTGTTGCAGGTTTTGGGACCACGGAGTGACGTGAAAACAAATGAAGATGTGTGTGTAGGCATTCAAACACAGGCGCACACATGCACGCAGGTCTGGCAGGGTCATGTTGGAGACGAACCAGTTGGAGCTGCAGCA